CTATGTATTTATTATGTAAGAGCAATGACAAGGACAGTTCATATGTGATTATCATATTTTTAACACAATGAATCTTACGTCTCAGTTTCTCAATAAATTCTCGGTAGAACGAAAGATTGAGCTGTGAAATTGCTTCTTTGAAAATTGTAACTCAAACAGTCATTTAACCACACAATTAAACTCAGAATACTTTCAGTTACAATGACGAAATGACCAAGAGACATTTTTATATGTATATATGAATGAAAGCGTGCTATCTTGATCTTAGTTTACACAAAGTTATTTTGTTTAGAGAAACTGTCTGTGAGGCATTGAAACCACACACTTCAATGTGTTTTGGACTTGGGAAGAAAGTGCACACAGGAGCTTTTTGTTCAAAACCAATTCAAGTGTTTTTATTAATTAATTTATGTTTTGGAACATGTAGACTGCAATATGTTTCTAATTTCAATGTGGCCTGAGTTTAGTAGAGTAGTCATAACTTTAACAGTACATGTGACAAATTACTAACATTCCCTATAAAGTTGTACTGTATTTTTTTACTTATATCTTCTAACTTTAAAACACCTCCATTATTATTTTTGTATTACAAAGCATGATTACTTCTATATTAAGAGATACTAGTATTTACAATTATTATATTATTAAGCATCAATCTGTTTAACATTAAGTAGATAATGTAAAGTCTTATCTCTTAAATGTTAATTTTTTTTAAGTTGCAAAGTTTAATGTTACATTTTCAATGCTTAGATTGTTGTCAGTAGAGTTTTAGATTTTGTTTTCAAAACCAAACAGAAACAGTGTTCTAAGCACGAAGGTGGAACAGCAACTTCACACAACAGAAATTAACTAAAAATGAAGTCAATGCATGCATGTCTTATCTGTGGAAGATAATAAACACTGTTAAAATATTTCCGTTTTATAATACTGCATAACTAGGCAGTCCAGTGGCATAGGGGTTAGTATTTCTGCCTTGTAGTGCTAGGGGCCTGGGTTCAATCCCTGGAATTTGTATGATTTGTATGTTTTTCCCTGTGTTTGTGTGGGTTTCCTCCAGGTGCTCTTGGGTTCTCCCACAGTTTAAAAACATACTCTTAGATTTATTGGCTTCTGGGAAAAATGGCTCTGGTCTGTTTTTGTGCCCTGTGATGGACTGGAGTCCTGTCCAGGATGTCCCTGCTTTGTGGCTGTTGCTTGCTGGGATAGGTTCTGGTTCCCCTGTGACCCTGCACTGGATGAAGCAGTCGGAAAATAGATGGATGGAACATGTCATAAATGATTGGGTTACACATACTTGACAAGTACTCTTATTGTTTTTTAAACCAACCAAAATTCCAGAGGATTACATTATAGATTAAAGTAATATTACAGAACATGTAAATTGTTGCTATAGTGTTCCATCTGAAAATAATGTATATACAGGACAAGTCCAGAATTTCCAGTGCCCTTCTGACATCCCTCCCAAATCTTCCCTCACTACAAGGAGTTCAACTAAAAGAGAAAGATATAGGAGACACGAAAAAGAGCATTACTAAATACTAATAATGCTAAACAAACTCTAGGAAGGAGAAAGTGGAAGGCCAGTCCTATCAGGTACTCAAGACAGATTAAGGTCAAGGTTTGGAAAACAATTATGATGCAGACTCTTCCTCTATAGAACATAGAACAAGTACTGTACATAGAGTTTGACAGAAAAAAAAACATTGAAAGGCTCAATGGCAAGCAATAATGCATTTATCCCACAGCTAAATGAATTAGTCAGAGAACTTTGTCTGGTGACATCCTTTAGATGCAGTGTGTCTAGTTTCTGGATATTCATGGCTGGTAAATCCGTGATTCTCTAACAGTTAAGGGTCAATTTACATACTGAAAGGTCACAACTTTAAGAATTCATCGATTAATTTTGATGCCAGCAGCCATATCACCCTGAAACCCACTGTAAGTGTAAGTGTAAGCCACTGAAGCTCAGCAGGTGTGATCCTGGTCAGTACCTGGATGGGAGACCTCATGGGAAAAACTAAGGTTGCTGCTGGAAGTGGTTTTAGTGGAGCCAGCAGGGGGTGCTCACCCAGCAGTCTCTGTGGGTCCTAATGCCCCAGTATAGTGACGGGGACACTATGCTGTAAAAATGTGCCTCCTTTGGGTGAGATGTAAAACTAAGGTCTTGACTGTGAAAATCCCAGGGCATTTCTCGAAAAGAGTAGGGGTGTATCCCTGGTGTCCTGGCCAAATTTCCCATTGGCCCTTACCAATCATGGCCTCCTAATAATCCCCATCTTTGAATTGGCTTCATCACTCTGTTCTCCGCCCCACTGAGAGCTGGTGTGTGGTGAGTCTACTGGCGCACTATGGCTGCCGTCGCATCATCCAGGTGGGGCTGCACATCTGTGGTGGAGGGGAGTCCCCATTATGTGTAAAGCACTTTGAGTGGAGTATCCAGAAAAGCGCTATATACTGTAAGTGTAAGCATTTATTATTATTATTATTATTTTTTATTATTTTATAGGTTTAGAACGACCACTTATATTTCTGATTTTGTATTCCATTTAATGTAAATGATGAATATTCAATCTGGTTAGAGTTAGAGTCACATTAAACTGATCCCCTGAGATATGTTTTGCTTCAGGACTGTGACGAGGTGGGGGAAATAAATTCTAACCATGTGCAGTACAAATGAGCATTATTGACAAAATAATGATTGTAGTCGAAACAATACCCTCTCCATTGGTTATATACATGACTTTTCATTTGCTGTTTTGAAGAGATTGGCCCGATGCACCTGTAAAATATCTAAGTGAAAAGGCACAGTAATATAAAAGGAAACAGTGAGACGCCAATCTAAAATTAAGAATCCAAATCTTCCAATGCAGAGCCATTATTCTTTCAGTAAAGTCGCACTAGTTTAAACCCATAAAAATGTTTGCTGTAATGTCTGAAAAAGTGCTACTTTTATGAAGTGATGTAATAGCTCACATCTTCATAAACTAGAATTCCACAACCACAGGATGACATTGCGAGTTAATTTCATCTAACACAACAGCGGCTAGGAATGTACATTCAGACATTGAATTCAAAGGGTTAATAATTGTTTCCCCTTCCTAAAAACACTCTACTGCCAATGCAACTCATTTTGCATGGATTTTAACATATCAATCATCATTTTACTACAATCCCAAGCTTCAGTGGTGAAAAGCTATTGCATAGCCTTGCAGTGCAAGCTTACTTTTTAAAACAAAGTTTGTGCTGCATAAAAGTAAATTAAACTACATTAAGACATACAGTACAATTGATGGTAATAATACTTATAGCCAAATGTTTAAAAAGCTGAAGCAGTTTTTTATTTGCTGCTTACTAGGTCATCCTAAAAGTTTGTTTTGCTAAAAGATGTGATTTATGTTGTGTTGTGTGTTGTTGAAAGAAATAGGAGAAAGCAAGCCAATATGTATACTTCTTATATTGGATTTCTCCCTGTATTTTTTAAATGGTCCTATGTAGTGTTAAGACTTCTTAACAAAACTAACATACTTCTATGCTAAATGATGTGTCTGGAAGTGTCTCCCACAAAGCGTAAAATGCCTGTTCCTATCAGTCCTGTGTATCACATAAATGACAATAATTCAGTAATGAATTAAGTACACAGCAACCACTAAATGTAAGGTCTTTAATACCAGAACATGATTTAATATTGGCAAATGAAAATACATAGCAATATTTTATTTTGCAAATCTGACAGTATTCATTTTAAAGCCATCAACAAAAGACGGATTATGACGCACACAATTTTGTGCAAAGGGTGATAAAATTATGATTCCGTGGGCTATAAAAAATTAATTCGAGGAACCTGCTGCATATTTTTCAGACTAACAAATTGCAGCAGGATTAATCACAAGCAAGCTATTGATTAGTTCTTAAAGAAAAACGTACAACAGTGATTGATAGAAGATTTTTTTTTATAAAGGGATTGAATTAGTGTAAGCACCCCATATATACTCTGTTCCACCCACACTTACACACCTACTCAGTGTGTCTTTGAACTTTCTGGAAGATTACATTTAGAGCAGAAAGCTTTTTATGAGCACTAGCTATGCCAGAACAAAGAAAACATTCTTCACAGCCTGAATTAAACAAAAGTGCAGGTAATAGACAATACCTGTCCATTTTAAAGAACTGAATTCTCACACTGAGCAGAATGTTTAAAGATTTTTTCCAGCACAGTAATTGCATCTATTTTCTCCCTATGGTAAATAATAGCACAAAACATTTGGTGGTCTAACAGGGGTAAATTAAACCATTTACATTTAAGGATGAGTCTCAAATTAATCAAAAAAAATAATTTGTAGTTATTTATTAAACTCTGTATATTTAACCACCGAGTGCGTGAAAGACTTGAATGTTAAAGAATGTGTTTTAAAGAAGGAATATATTTTCTTATTATTTTGAATAAGGAGGCATTAAAAGAAAGTTCGCGGAGCCTCGATGTCCTCTGTTTGTTGACGACCATGTTTTGGTCACAAAGGGAGATACAAATATGAAACATGTTAATCTAAATAAGATGAAAAAGTAATGCTAGAATGTCTTTTTAGAAGGTGGAAGTACGCGTTGGAAGCTGAAGAAAAAAATCTTGAGCCGTTCCTCATTCATAAAGACAGCGGTTTTCCTTTAAGGGGGCAATGAAATATATTATATCCATGCCAGGAGAGAGAAAGGGTACATTTTATATTATATACACAGTGCAGAGATCCTAATTAATTGTTATTAAGCACTAAACCGATGTAATTTCAGTCCGGTGTCTGTAGCTCCGTGATTATATGGTATCTAGCACAAAAGCCTGTTGTACGTTGTTACACCCTGGTTTTTGCTGTTGCCGATATAAAGGCAAGTTCGGTCTCGCAATTAGGAATTAACTTAAGCTTTTGATGAACAAAGAGACGGTTCTTACAGATGTCGCAAAGAAACATCTTTTCATTTTTATTCGAATTCACGAGTACTCAGCTCCCAGAAACCATTGCAGCTAAAACCCAAACGAACTATGCCCCGGAACAAAACCCTTCAACTTGAAGTAGAGACAAAGCACCCCGAAGTATAGTTTTGAGCACATCAAATCAGGTAACTATGAAATGGGATTAAAATTAAGGCTGAACGCACATCTTGGTTAGCTTTTTTGAATCTCATACATTGGACTTCTTTTAAGAAAACACAGCAGTGCTAATGTTTGTTATATCAGCAGCACTATCTGTTTTGCTCTATGTAGACTACGGACTAACCGGCTTCCACTAACATCTATGGTACACCTGTATATTTCCTTAAAATAAGTTTAAAAGTAACAATGTATAGGATGTAAAGCACAGCTTTGTGAGCAACTGGATGTAAGCTGTCCTGGTTGTTTTTGCCCGATTAGTAAAGGGGCACATACAAATTTCATGCAACAGCAGAATTCAAGGTTCATTTTAATATTTCATCTTACATAATGCAGTCTTAGTAATAGTATATTCTAGCGCATATCAAGTTATGTTGTGAACAGTGTCTATAGATTCTGTTTGTTAACAAACGTAGTGACGTGTTATGTAGTATGTTGAGGTGCTTAAGACTACTGTTACCCACGGAGTTTTAATATAAGTGTCGCTTATGTTAGTAGCAGATGTTTGGGAAGCACCCTTTTCATTTCAAGTTAGTAAGCCGTCTTATTCGAAATGTAATCGAAATTTGTTTGAAAGATAAGTTACATTGTTAAAGATAAGTGTATTAACAGAGTGTAAGATTCGTGAAATTACAACGCGAGGTTGTTGTGCATTATTTCTGCAGGATTTGAAAGAGGCTTCAAGTTGTGGAATCTTTAAATTTGAGAAGTGACGTTCTTAAAGTCACTAAATTACCATCAAATCTTTGGTTCTAATGCTGCAAATCGTCATCCCGTTGTGGGTTAAAGACACGGGTTTAATAGTGCATCACTAATACATTTAATCTCTTTTTTTTCTCTGTTACCCTGACAATAAAATTAAATATATTTAAAAACGTTTTAGCCTTGCTTGTTGTTCAGAGCAAGGATCCAATCATAAGGAAATGCTTCAGTGCCGGAAAGAGATAACACAATTTGTTGTAATTGTAATTGTGGTTTGTCTTTTTTTTTTATACAGCTTTGATCATCTTATTGCATGGATTTGGAATATTGAATAAGAGATGCAAATACACCCCCCCCCCCCGATTGCATTAACATACAGGCAATCCAGCTGTGTAACAGAAACCCTCATTATACTCTACTGTGTTAACAGGTTCAAGCAGACATACTATGGAGCATCGGAGGCAGGTGAAGGGCCCTACCCAGTTCCGGGAGGCAAGGCGTGGGCAGAATCACACTGGTGCCCCCCAGAAAGATGCCTACGCCCGGCTGCTCAGCCAGCATCACAGCGGCAAGTTCCGTGCCTACCTCAACCAGTTTGCTCAGCACCAGCAGCTGCACGTCGAGGAGAATGTGGAGCTCCGGGCGAACGACTCCATGCTGGAGAAGGATGATGTTGCGTCGGGCAAAAGGGACGATGCTCCTAGAGGCTCCCTGAATGCAAACAGACGCCCGCCTTCCCCCAGCGCTGGGGTGGAGGCCGAGAGCGGCCCGCCCTTTTGCACAGAAAAGCTCCAGGGGCGCAGGGAGCCCGTGGAGTCTTTCGGGGTGCACGGGGCGAACGCGCGGCAGAGCCGTGGTAAAAAGAGGGACCCCGGCGCCAGCCAAGACGAAGGTGCTATGGAGTCCGGCGGGGAGGGGTCTGTGAGACAGGACGCCCCGAAACAGCAGCCGAAGAAGCAGCATCACAGCATTGTCTCGGCTAAAGGGCCCTCTCTGACAGGTCCCGCAGGTGCCTCTGGGAGCAGGGATGTCATGTTTCCCTCAAGACAAGGGGTTTCGCCCCACAAAACCAGTGGCCCTATAGTTGAACAGGAGAAAGACGCAAGAAAGAAGCTGAAGAAGAAAAATGTCGGTAAGGGCAGCGCTGTGGGCAGCTTTGAGGGAACAGGAGGTACAGATAGCGACGGAGCACCAGTTGGGAGGATGTCACAGGGTCGCTTTGATAGGCCAATTACAGGCCAGTCCCCAGGTAAGGCAAAGACTAGCCTCAACGATTTTGAATTGTTAGTTTGAAACCAGAAGGTCTTCATACAGTGATAAAAATGTATAGTGACCTTAAAAACAAGCTAAATGTAATAGATTTTATTTCACTGTCCTTTTCCTCTACTTTATATTTTCTAACAGGAATTGGGTGTAGAGGGCCTGTGAAAGACGCCCCTAGATTTCCCATGTTGGAAGAAGAAAGATGTCCAACATGTTTTTCATTTTGTTTTGTGTCTTCTGATCAAGCATTCTTAGCTCTTTTGGAAGTTATCTGTGGGATAAGGTTTTCTTTTAAAACATCATGTTCATTGGGGTTTCATTAAGGACATGGACAACTGAAACGCTTGGAGACTTCATCATTCCCAATCTGGAATTGGCAAAGTGATATTCAGGCTTCTTATTGTTGTTGAGTTGAATTGTTTCATTGAGCAGGTGCTGTCTTTTCCAGACACGCTGTGTCATCTTTGAATTTTAGAACCTGAATTTTAGAACCTTTAAAAGTTTGATATCATGGGTGTCTTGCCTCTCTTGAGATTCCTTGGGATTTTGAAATGCCTGGAAAAGATTTCCAAGAGGAAGTTTCTTTGCTGCTGTCAGCACGTGGGCTGGGCTGTAGTCAGGGTTTTTCCCTCTACAACTTTTTTTTCGTTTTCTGCTTATCAAAGTCTCTAAAAATCAATAGTGATGAAAATGTAACACTTTGCTTCCTGTCCCACTCTGTTCGAAACAGTTCAAAACCTGTTTATAATTTTTAAATTGTCTTAAAATTGGTCACGGTTAATGAATTATTTTACTTTTAGAAAGTAAACGCATGCAAACAATACGTCTGATCTGATTTTGTGTTTTCAGGCAGAATCTGCAGTCCATGTGTGGCTCCAGATAAAGGGAAAAATAAGAACAAAGCAGGTAGAGGCAAGAAGAAGCAAGTATTTGAAGCATACATGGATATCCATGATGTTTCTGCTGGGCTGAAGAGGGGAGAGCTGATTCAGGTTTGGAAGTCTTTTATGGATTTAGTAAAAATGCAACAACTACAGTTTTATTTTTTCTACCCAGATTTTGCATCAAGAAATGCTTGCTCAGGATGTTCTCTCTTCTTTGTTGTTGCTTTTGGTGCAGTTTAGCGACTGAAAGTGTGAGGATAAGTCAAAATGCTTTTGCCAAATCTTTTGTGTAGACAACTGGGGTGACTTTTTTGTTTTAGAAAAAGAGTATTACATTTCAGTGTCTTTTAGAGAAGCCATGTAACAATGAGCACAAATAAAGCTCTTTGTGCTCTGTACCTGCAAAGTGTTCTTTGTGTTATACCAAATTATTAATCATGGCATTACATGCTGTTTTGTTCACAAGGTAGGATTAAATCTAGTTTTGTTTTAAACAAGCTAGACTGGAGAGCGAAATACTGGTAGAACAACTTCAGCACCTTTCTTCCAATCCCATATATTATTAGAAGCTTTGTTGCCAGATGATTGGAATTCAACATAAAATATCATCAGCAAAAAGCTTTTTAGCACAACATTGCGTGTAATTTATGTATTTGCTCCCGTGTGGGAGAGCTCTCTGTCCTTCTAACTGTAATAGATTTAGAAAATCTTTCATCCTCTCTATGTCATTCCCAAACTATGTACAGTAACTCTCTTATCTCCATAAACACTGTTGTGCCGACAAGCATTCCTTGTCAGTGATGTTTGTTTTTATTATATTGTGGTGTTGGACTCTACCATAAAACACATTTCTCCCAGGAAATAATAAAGATTAAATTGAATTAGGAAAAACTTGCATAGATTTGTAGTCATAAGGTAGGAACTTTGAGTTGTATTTGGAACCCAGATTGACTATGATGGACATAGAAAAGTAATGCTTCGTGTTTAACTTTGGCGACAGTATAGTAATTTATAAGAAACTATCATTTTTCTTTTTTAGGGCCCATTGAGAATTAACCCTAAGAAGTACCATGAGGCCTTCATCCCTTCTCCTGTGAGTGTTTCATTCATTCTCTTTATACCTTCCAATTAATAAGTTAGTGACTCTTCATTCTAGCAAGTAAAATATTTTGGTTCTGAAGAGAAATTATGATCATGAAGTAACTGAGCTAAAACTGAGCTATTTTGCAGGGAAGAGTACCTCTCTTATTTAAATTCCAAATATACATATTAAAACTAGTTCTTTAGATTATTTAGCTGTCTTTAAGTGAAGGTGGGTTGTAATATCCTGTTGTCATATTTCATGTGATTGATTCCAGACCAGTAAAGAAGCATATTAAGATAATCAGGTTACATTTACATTTTTGAACTGTGATTTTCTAGTTTTATTTTTCGTTGTGGATGCTGTATAAACTCAAACAGGTGATGCATATGCCCTCAAAACCTCAAGCCATGACAGCTGTCCTCAGGTACAATTGTATGCTTTTTTTCTCCATGGAGATCAGCATGCGACGGTGGAGCAGGGTGCGGATGTGTTTTTTTTGGCCAGTTGCCACTTTCCCTCTGTGACACCAGTTAAAAATGGATAGGGTGATGTTTTAAGCTTTTGAAAACGAAGTAACGTAAGTAGATGAAACATAAGATGTTTAGGATGTTTCAAACATAAATTTATAAATTAAATGTTTTTTCATCTGTTAAAAAAACATACCAGTCTAGTGGCATTTATTGGGTGACAGGTGTTTTGAGGACATAACAGTAGATACCACAAAACATCTAAGGTATATCTGCCTCATATCTCTGATGGTGCTTTAAGTTGCTGTAAGTTTCTGGGCTTTTTTAAACCACACTTTTTTTGCAAGTACTATGTTCTAAGTTGTCACCGACCGATGAAGTTGCTAACATAGGGTGACTGCAGAAGGTCTCAAAGGGAATACCTCATGATATAGCTGACTCCTTTAATAGAAAACGTGGGTTTGCAAGAAAGTAGAGAACAGCCTGAAGACATTTTGTGTTTCCATTTAACTGAAAGAAAATATATTACAGTAATGCGTAACACTGTAACACACGCTAATTGGGATACTGTCCTGAAACAGCAGCTTGCCGGCCAGAACTGTTACTAACCAAATGAAAAGTTTGACAAGTAACACACTGGCCAGGTAATGTTTAATTCAAAACGGGCTCTCTTGTTAAGTTCTTAAAAAAACAGAGCACTGTTTATAACATCTGCCTCAAGTTTAGCAAAGGGCTTATGACGTCAAACCGAGGTAAGTTTGGGTTCAGCCTGTTAAAGTTCTGGTCTGGCCTGTGCAGTCAAGAATTTACAATAATTAATGTATGGCATGTGAAACATACAGATGTTTTACTGCTAAGATGGCGTGTGTTTGTTGAAGAAAGAATAACAAGCCAACACATCCATTGAGTTGGTAATTAGAGTAGGCCCTCTCTTTTAACTTGTGAGTGTTCATCTGCATGTTGAGGAGAAATTCTTCACTGTTTGCTCCTGTTCTACTGACCCTCGCTCACGCGGCATGCTGTCTATACCTGCCTTCTTTTCGATGTGCCACCTACCAAACAGGGAAGCTATCAAACAAGGGTCATCACTGAGTTGTGTAACCAGGTTAATTTCAACAAAGGAAAGTTCTGTTCTAGTAATTGTCTGCTCCTGAGATGCCCAAAACCCTCATAAGGAGTCATTGTGGCCCTCCACCATAGTCAATACATTCAAATAGTAGAAATACAGTATAACACGTCTTCTGAAAAGTTGGAATCTGTACTTTCTATGCAGTATTACCTATCCTTTACTTTACCTGTCCTTCGCCAGTATTACTTTCTACATATGTTAAACTGCAACATTCCATTGGTGCTGAGAGAGCAGTAATGCTTAGCTTGCTGTTGCCAACCTCTAATCAAATGAATTCTGATAACCTAAGAGACATTTCCTCACGATGGAAGTTACAGTTGTTTTGGATGGAAGCTGGCAGTGATGAGGAAATGCTTCACAGCTGATGGATTTATTTCTCTACTCAGACTTGAACATACTAATTATGTGGATAAAGATAAATTCCCATCTGTAGTGGTTATTGAAATCATCAATAAGCTGCACACCTATGTCTACACATGGCAGCAAATACTGGTGTGCACAATAGCAACAGCTCGGTGCCAATTCTAGCAGAAGGCATCAAACAGCAAGTAGAGTACAACACATAAATTAGGGATTAGTCAGCCACATGCATAGCATTAACCTTCTCCCTGAGGCTGTTCATCTATACAATTTAGACTAGGTTTGCTGTTAATAAACCAGGTTAGATGGGTTAAGCCTCAAATCTGACTTATGCTGTTTAATGTCATACAGAATTCTAGTGGACTGTCTCACCACCATTATTAACAATATTCAGAAGCAGAATAGTATTCTTAGTATTCAGAATGTGAAGATGTGATTATTACATAAAAATGCCTAAAAAAATACAAGATTGAGTCATCTTAATGCTACTAGATTTAACCAGGTTAGTTATGCATCCATATGTTGATTTCAGCAGTGGACAGTTCCCAGACGAAGCACTCAAGTGGAAAACTGGACATCTTGGTTAAACATATTAACCAAGTATTGGTTTTCAAAAAGTGCTCTTTGCTGATGTTGTCCATTATGAAAAAGATTAGTAGGTCAGACATTTATGGCTAAGTCAGAATTTGATGCGGCTTTATTTTTTTAGTGTAGATCAAGGACATGCCATTGCAAGATCAAAACATAGAGGACTGAAAATGAAACTTAAGCTCAAGACTAGTCCTTCTAGGGAAAATGTTAGAAAACTTTCCCCCATCTTAACTGACTGTTTTTGTAGATGTCTTAAATGTTATTAGACAAAATATGTCATGATAATTTAGTAATGGGTATTTGTGATCATAAGGACTACATTTGATACCATTAGCGCTCATTTATAGTTTCACCTGTAATAGATTTCAAGTGAGGTAACCTAATCTCTTAGTCTAGGTCTCTAAATGCTGACTAAATATGCTGCTGTGAGTGATGTTGACCCCTTTGCTCCCACACAGGTGGCAGTGTTGCCATAGTTTCAAAGTCATCTCATCACTGATGATTTCCTTCAAATATATGGCTTTAGCTGTCTCTCCATATATACCTCTAGGTTGATCAGCCAAGTGCATAAGAGAATTTTTTGGGTGACTTTTTACCCTGCATTAGATCTACTGAATTGATCCTTTTTTTTCTTTAGCTGTTCTCATACAACCACAATCTTATCTTTCCGTTTTACAGACCTTTTAATTGGGTGTTACTTTTGTCTCTTGGGATGCATCTGGCTTGTGCAGTGTGTGGTGATTGTTTTTGTCAACATCCCTCTTGCTGTGGGATCCTTTTGTTATGGTTGGGAAATTCCAATAAAAGAAAACCGCTATCTTTTTATTGCAATTTTAAACTGGAAGCTGTATTTTAGTTTACTGACCCTACATTGGAAGAAGCTGTTAGAAAATATATGCATGAATTGAAGGTACATGTATATGAGAATAAGTTGAATTTGTGTTTGTAGCAGTGCAAAGATGTGATAAAGTTTTATTATATGTGACATTAAAGCAGCAACTTTGAGGCATTAGTTTCTGTATTACAGAGCAGCAAGCACTCCTGCAAAGAGTGTGCTAGATGGTTGCAAAAATGATGTACGTGGATACATTTGCAAATATACCAGAGCCTTCTGCGGTGATGCAAAGCAGAGAGCAATGCATTTTTGTCTCAAATTCTTAACGCAAACAAAATCCGTATGCATGATTACGAATCTGATTGTTAATGGGCATCGGGGCAGTGGAAACATACATTGTAATCCACACCAAAAATGCTCTCGACCAAGTGTTGGGAAAAGGAAGATGACAACGTTCCGGTACTAGTTGGGTGTTTGTGGTGCGCACTTTAGGAAAACTGACACACAAGCGTTAACAAACTCCTGACATCTATGCCAGCAAAGTGCTCAAGGCATCATGGGGTGCTCATCACTGGTGTACTACAATATAGCAGTAAGCATCCAGGTGCAGTGAAAGCTACAGTACATCGAGGAGTGGCAGGTTTTGGACCTCATTATCGTCTGGATCTCACACTGTCCCGGTTCTCATCTCTTTGGCCCCGTGAAGCAACCTGTCAGAAGCTGCAACCTAGTATACGAAAATTTCAAAAACCTGGTGCTTTGGCAGTGCTGTACTTCACTCATTGTGCCAATAAAACTCTTTGAATTTGACCAACAAACATGGTTTTATCTATAACTTTGTGCATCACTACAGAAACTTGTGGATGTGGAAAAGGTACTTTTGAAAACCATTCCCATCTAGGAAGAATATTTGATATGTAAATTGCATTTGCTGTACTGATGACAAAACTTTTTATGTGTATCACTGTATATGTGTAATTTAAATAGAAAAGTTCAAGTTCAGATCTAATGCTTGTTTTGCTGTGATGACTTTAATAGTAACCATTTATCTAGCAAGGTGTTGACTAGAGCATATTGAGTGAAGTATTTTAACCCACCACCCTCATTTCCGGGGTTCAGAGCCTGGACCACGTATCCACACATAATCCATTAAATTTATCGGAGGGTTAAGGCGACAGTTCCCAATTGAACTTCATTTTAAGGTTTTTTGCTTTCGAGAAAACCTTGGACTGTAGAGGTTTTAATGAATTGCGTTTTTTTCTGTTGGCAAGAAAAAAGTTTTATATTGAGTTTCAACTGTCAGAAATATTATCAGTTGAAGAAATTCTTTACTTGTGGGGTTAATTTAATTCTTCGCAATTTCTCGGCCTCTGTGTGACCTTCCCTTTCTGTGAAGCAGTTTTTCAACATGGCTTATGTTGTACTTGTCTGTTTTCAGACTGTTTCAGTACAGGATCTGGTTTCAACCAAGTTAAAAATTTTCAGTTAAACTTTGTTGAGAAATTGTTACATTGCCGTCTTCTTTACCTGGGACAGTTCATTTAAGGACTGAGCTCCACAGCTACCACAGTTTTTGAGCTTGTACAAGTTGAGAATGTTTTGGTTTTTCAAACAGGACCACGTGAAG